GATGATGTTGCGCAACTTGGGAGCATGTGTTTTGAGATTTACGCCAAGAGCTGAGCGCATGGAAAGGAACTGGATGTCCATGATGTGACGTCTGGCGGCAGCTGAGCTAAGTAGATTTAAGTTGAGTCGAGTTTAGTTGACTGCCTGGATGCGCTGTGATGGGCGTCTAAGACGCGTGGTTAAATGAGCTGGAAATCATCTGGGGATGGGTTAAGAAACGGATATGAAAGATTGAGCAGATGTAGCGGAAGATGAAGAGCTTGTTTTTTTGCTTCTTAAATGGAAGGGAGACATTTTGAGAATTTTTAGTGTGAAATGTGTACAACAAATAACTTTTTAATAATAACAATAACAACCAATACAATATCTTGAGGATGTGAAAACCTTAACCTTAATAATTAATATGAATATGTACAGAAGATGAAGATCTTTAGAGCTACGCATGAAATATGCCTTAGATTATATGGTATACTCAAGCATGCCTCAGAACTCTTATCCAGCAATATTTATTTCTTACTTGCTTCGCAATCTGTTAAATAAACAACATAAACAGAACCTAACTACCTTTGCGAGAAAACTGTAGCGCAGTGTCTTTGTCGCAGCACATTTTGAGACCATTTTGTAAGTACAGGCGGTTTTTTTTTCTCAGAGGACATGGCCTGTCGAGTTTTACACCGTTGGGCGCTAAAAATCGTAAAATCAATGTGTCATAAAAAGTCTTAGCGGAGCCGGCAAAACGGCTAGAAGGAAATTGTTTGACTTGAGTATTTTTTGTTTTGTTTTATGCCTTTTCAATGGCTGCGCAATGCGTGTTTATGTGCGCGTCTTTATGACTGTTTACAGATGGCAAACAAGTACCCACACACACACACACACACACACACATACATATTAACACACACTTAAGTCAGAGTGTGGAGGCGGCATTTTAATCAGCGCTCAAAATGTGCCTCTGAGATTTCTCACAATTATGCGCTGTTAGTCGTCGAAAACTAATTTCTGCAATTTCCTGTAAACAATGCAATTTGCTGAGTGTATAAGCAAAAATAACAATAAACAAAATTACAGTCGAGGGAAAATGTGGCACACGAAAGGCATCTGTCGAAGGGTAGGGGGATGGAAGGGGCCTAGTCTCGGAAATAATTAAATAAATGCAAATGCAGCTGCAGCTACATGCTCGAATTCCGCAGACAGACAGACAGACAGACAGACAGATGGATGGATGGATGGATGGATGGATGGATAGTTATAGAGTCTGGAGTTGAGCCGAAGAGCAGTATGCAAAGCTTTTGCGCCTTTTGCGGGGAAAGGTTTCGAGCCATATCGCTGCCAACTTCATCTCTGACGTTGTTGTCGCCATTTTTGCCGTGTAATTTGATTTCGTGTTCTATGTTGCTCCTCTGCCTTTATTTTTTCCTTTGCCATTTGCGCTCTCTCTTTTTGGCCTCTTGGCATATTTCTGGTACATTTTGCGCCGTCCTAATGAATGACAGCAACAGCCAACAGCCGACAGCCGACAGCCGACAGCCGACAGCTAAGACTAGGACAACCATCAGCCGAACAGGCGACATCCTGGGGACAACACTGCGAACTGCCGCCGCATAACTGACATAATGCTGATGATAATGTTGATGATTTTAAAATGCGCGTGTTTCGCCTGCAATTGCTGTCGTTTGGTGTCATTTGTGGGCGGCTTAGGCTTTAAGTTGTCACCGAGTATGGCATAGTTGTTGTGGGGCGTGCTCCCTTCAAGGATAACCAGAAATTGGCAACAAAAGCAAGGATATTCGACAGCTTGTCGGTTGAACTAACGAGCATGCTTTGTGCTTTAGCAATTGCTCGATAATCTGTGAAGCAATCCAAGCTTAAATTGCTGGTGTTAACATAATTTTTAGCGGTCTACAAAAATTAGCTTTAAAGTGGTTCGTCGGCAGAGGGGCGACAGGAGGGGAAACAATTGAATTAGGTGCATAAAAAAAAAGTGTAATTGAAAGTTAATTGAATAAGAAATAGAGCGATGGAAAAATTGACTGCAAATATTTGATCAAATTATGTTTTAATTAAATATACTCTGAATTTCACGATATTAGATCCAATATATAATTTTTATTAAATATGTACTTATTATATTGCAGATACTCGCGGTAAAAACTTTGAATTACTTGTGCTTAAATATCGCACTGTACATTTCATTTTTATAATACAAAATTATTATTAATCGAGTGAAAAAAATTGAGTCATGGAATTCGGATCATACAATGTAGTTAAATATGTGTCCATTTTTGAGCTTTCATTTCAAATGTAATTTACGTGTTATATCAATGCATTCTGCCGAAAAACGGATGTCAGCTGGGCTGAAAATCATATATATTATTAACCAGAAATCTTGTTACTTCAATTGATAGATTTGTTTTATGCTTATAAAGAGGGTTTGATTGCGTGAAGGGTCTTTTGCAGACCAAGTTGAAGTTGTTTTTTCGTATCTTCTGCTTCAAAACAATTTTGTGGTAAAAATGTGTCTTTGTACAATAAGACTAAGTTCTTAGCAGTTAAAGTCTATGGTTACTTTTATGGTCTATAGTTATTTATGGTCCCACCTAGTTTTCATATATATTATGAACAATAGTCCAAGATTAAACATATGCTTAAACAATGTTACGAAACATAAGCTTTGGATAACATCTAAAAAGTTAAACAGTGTTCAAGTCAGTTTAATTAACCGCGGTATTTTGTTGTCAAGCAAACACAAAATGGCCAGCAATATTCAACTGACTGAAACAGAATCCCTCCGTTTCCTGCCTGTCACATGGTACATAATGAGCTCCATGTCAGCCACAGATACAAGCATGAATACATATATTTAAGTGTATATATATGTGTATGCTTATGTGTGTGCCTGTCTAGAGCTATCGCTGTCATAAAATTAAAACTATGAAAGACAACAGCGTCAACTGTTGTTTGCCATAGACAGGACTAGAGACAGAGACAGAGACAGATAAAGTGAGAAACACTTAAAAGCAAGAAAATAAAAGCAAACCAAATTAATTGTACCACAGGGCAAACAATTCAGATATATATATATATAGAGCCAACATGTGGTATTGATGATAATAAAACCATAATGGGATGTCCACAAATAAATCCAGTGACAAGCACTGCCCGTGGCAGACGCCGACTGTCTGCAGTTGGCCTAGAATGGGCTCTGGGCTGTGTCAAAAACCCTAACTTAATATCAGACAAACGCGGCTAATGAGGACAACAAATAAGTCTATTGTAAGTCTATGTGTGTGTGGGTGAATTTTGCTTGATCTGAGAAACTTTCTGCGACAAAATTGCGCTACTCAAGACTTCAAGTGCATTTTGTTTTTACAATAGACGCGAGAAAACAATAGAGAAGTTAAGATGCCCTTGCCCTTGTTTAAAAAAAAGATATATAGCTTTGTAAGAGGTAAAATTAATTTTAGTTAAAAAATAATTAAGTGCCTGAATACTATTTATAGATAATTTATAATCTATATAATGACTTTGGCTACTTTGATAAGCAAGGTTCATCCCAAGTCATTCTTCCAAATCATCTCGGTTAGGGTATTCTGCGCTGTGTGGCATTTGTCACTTACAAACTCAACAATTGACTGAGATTCAGCACACGCACGAAAAAAGGCCATTGACATGGATTGTTGTATCATCAAAGCACTTCAATCGCAATCAAGTCAAGTCAAGTTATTTAACTTGGCGCTAATTTACTGTCTTGGCATGAATTAAAAGTCGTTGGTCTTGTGGAAAACTCTGCACACACAGTTCGAAATAATTTATTTTTTCTCTGCAAAGAATTGTCAAAAAGTACAGACAAACAATGCCAAAATGCCAAATGCAACTTAAAACTTTTGCGCATTTCACTTTAGCGCCTGGCAAAAAGTACAAAATGCAAACAATACAAAACAAGCGACACACACAAGATATTATTCAAAGGGCGCAAATAGAAATGGTAGGAATTGCATCTATGGGCGCGGGAAACTACAAGAGCAGAATGCACATGGGGCAGATAGCTGCGTAGGAGTGGAGCGTGTATTTGTGGCACGTTGAGCGAAGCTCTCGGGTTATGCACTGGCGGCTGCAGTTTGGGGCCAACGGCAAAAAAAGACCTTAGAGAAAAGTTGAAAGGGTTTTCCCCAGCAGACGAGATACAGTCACATTTAATGAATGTATAAAGCAGTTTCGCAAGCAATAAATGTGAAACCTAACTTTCGGCTGTATTACGGCTTAAATAAATGTAATTAAATTGAATATCAATTTAGTTGTTTAAACTGATTCTATTTACGGAATGGAATTTATTTGGTGAACAATGTGAACAATTTAATAAATGAAGAACTATATTTGCATACTTTTATACCCTGCTAGAAGGTACTATAATTTTGTCATGAAATGTGTAACGCATAGAAGGAGACATATTTGTTCCTATTAAATATATATATATATATAAATATATATTTGTATTGGAAGTCGAGTCTGTCTGCTCCCCTATCTGTAAGTTTGTCTGTTCGCCTGTCCCTTAAACAAACTATTCTCTCAGTTTTAGGACCAGCTTTCTTTCCAGACAGTTCAAATGTCGGAACCAGTCACTAAGCCATATCTTAGAATCGGCCGAAAAGTATAGAAACATTTTGTGTACTTCAAGATATCTTAACCAAACTTCAACACGGCTATTTGAAATGTAATTTAAAATATATTGAAGATATTTTCTAATACTTTCCAACATCTCATAGTTGGCCACCATCAGACATACGGCTTCTGGTCTGTGGTATGCTAACTTTTCGCGGCCCCTTTCACCTGGTTTAGCTGTGCCCCACTTTAGCCTACGAGTGCAAGCATATATCTAGCTAATTATGAGGAAGGCGCATGTATATAGTTATATACAATAACACTTTGTTGTCTTTTAGCTCTGCTTTATTCTGCCGATCCATAAGCCGGCTCGCCTTACACATGTTCATAACTTTTTATGCACACATGTATGTGGAATACATTTATATGATTGTTTTTGCTGTTTGCACAATTCATGATTTTTATACTTTATTTGTTTATTATTTGTTTCCTTCTTGACTTCGAAATCATGGAAGGTGGGCTTTAACAGGTTGCTTGATTGGGTTTAGTTCAGTTTGAGTCATCCTGCAAAATCGATATGTGTACTGAGTGTACTTACACATCCAATTTGTTGTTTGTTTGCTTTTATTATTATGTTTTAAGGAGATTTTTAATGTTGGTTTTCTTATGCTCTTTCAATATTTACATTTACACATTATTTCAGTTGCACGTTAATGTAGCTTGATCTTAAAATGTGCATGAACTATTTGTTTGCATCTGTGGAATACTGATAGACAAATAAATATTAAAAGTGTGAGATTTTTCCATATTTCATACAATTTCTTACACAGTTTTGGTTTTAAATTACAAATAAATGACCCAATTTCCAAATATGGATATCGATAAAGACGAACAGCATGTTAATTGAATCCTGACCTTCATTATTTGGACCTAAATTTATTAACAATCCATTTGTCACTGTACTCATTGAGATTGGGTAAAAAAGGAAAATGCCTGTGAAAATTTATAAGGTGGAATCTACGACTCCATCAAGGAAAGAAATAATGTCTTGATCGGCCTCGGCCTCGCGCCGATCTCGCTATATCCGTCTGTCTGTCGAGCTCAGAGACTATGAGACCCAGATACTCGAAAATCTTATGCTAGGCATTTCTATTACAAGAAATATCGAGCTTGTTTCTAATGATCGATGAAATTGATGCCAATATAAAGATATCAGTTTTAGTATATAGACAGGTGTAGACAGATCCAAGGTACTTGAAATTCTTAACACATTCGAATGCAATATATATATGGTCTAAGAGTCTCATAAAGATCGGACAATAAACACGGAACTTTAGCTGATGGAAGAAGAAGCACATACCCTGCTGTTGAGTGTCTGTTTTCGTCTTTTGGTATATATTAAAACAGCTCAAATTTTTGTGAGGGTAGCTCGGCAGGTTTGAGGGTATCTCCCAGTCGGTTAGATCAAACTTTTACTGGCTTATAATTGCACTCCTTAAAGATCTTATGTCCTGATTGGCAACTGATCAGAACATGTCCACTTATTTACCTCGAATTGCTATATATTCCACATGAATATGTTCTTATTTGGAGCTGACTAAGCAAATGCACAGAAAGCAGCTCGCAAGGGGTCCAGCAGGGACGACATATTGAGAGATTGAAACAATCTGGCGCCAAGTTCGCTACTCGTTCCAATAAAAATGTGAAATGACAAGCAAACACTACCATACTAGAAATTGGCGGGCTACTGCTCGACACAAATTCGTTGAGAGAAATATGTCAGATGTCACGATTTGCTATTTGTGTGCCAATAACAAGATGAAACTCGATGTTGGCATCTGTCTGCTGCCGCTGTTGTTTGTATTTATTTCGCTTTCAAAGCTGAGGCGCTGTACAAATGAAAAATAAACAAATTTCTTAATGACAATACTCGCCTTGCCTCTGTGCAAGAGTAAATTGATATTGATGCTCATTGAAGCACATTTCGGGCACAATGCAACTTGCCAGCTCCACAAATTCCAAGCTTCAGTTTCAGCTGCGTATTTCTGAAACCGTCAGCTGCTTGGGACTTATGCTGTATTCTGTGGGAAAAACACTTTTAAAAGAAACCTGCAGCAAAGGAATACAACGTTTAAAGGAAGTCAATTTAAAATGTTGCTCTCAAAAAGATACATAAAAAAACGGTGGAGGGTAAGCCAGTATGGCGCTAATAAGAGTAAAGAGAAAGCACGAGAAAAGCTTTCCTCGACACACAGAGGCTTTAATACTCTTGAAGACATTTGTCGAATGGCTTCATAGATATGTGAGAATAGTGTAATTCGTAAATGTTGAGTCCTGGCTAAAATGTTGGAAAACAGAATTTGTTTTAAAAATTCAATTTTTCGTCTTATTTCGTCCTATGGCGATACATAATAGGGATTTTCCATAGGGAACAATATATTCGAAATTTAGCCTATGTACAATTATATGGCTGTGTTTTCTTCGACCCTTATTATACAAACTTTAGCTACCGTTGGGGTAGCAAGCTTCGTCCTAGAATTTACTTTGAGGTCAAACTGAGATTTAGTAAATATGTCAGCTTCATACGTTTTGTTAGTCAGGACAGATAGATTATAGTTCTAATCTAAGCTTTTTAATAAACATACACACTATTTATGCTTTGGGTCTGGTTCTTTTATAGATAGTGTTTGCTTTAAGCTTCTCCATTTTTGAAAAATAGATGGTTTGTTTCAGATTACAGCTTAGCTGTTTTTTGGACAACGGGCTTCACTTAAAGTTCGGTTAATACAAAAAATTATTTGGATTTCCAGCTCCAACACAAATTGTGTGTTTTTTCTATTTATGTAACTTGTATTTAAACCAGAATTGCTCAGCCCATAGACATTCTTTCTGTGTCACTGAGCACCCTGTTTCAGGCAGTTTATATAATTATCAGATGCAGGTGCTTTCCTGTGCGTTTCCTCGAAGCTTATTACCCACATTCAACTTTTGCGCCCCGAGAAGTATGCTACACAATCGCATTTGCATATTGTCCCCATTTATTATTTGTTGTTTCGGTCTCTCTGTTTTTCGGAGCGCACATGTTGAAAAAACATTTTGCTTTGTACATTTTAATTTTCTTGTTGTTTTCTTATCTCGGAACACACATCGCAAAGTAACTCTTTAAACGGAATGCTTAAAAGCAAATTTGAACGTGTATAATATATGATTTGTTTGTATTTAATGCATAAATCATACAGGCAATTAAATGCATTGTTTTCATATAAAAATTGACAACATAGAACTCATCTGACTTATCCAAAGATGGATCAAGGTCGAAGTAAGCTGTTTCGTTACATTCTTCGAAATTTTACTAAATTTTTGAGATAGCTTAGTTTCTAGTTCAAGTTAAAGTTCCAATTAAAGATGAGGAGGTCCGTATATGCATACTTATAAATAATAGTATGTCCAAGTTGTCTAATACTTATTCTTATTGTGTTAATACTTATTCTCTGAGTTTGCAAAACAACTAGACGTCTTAAAAGTAAAATAGTTAAGAATATATAGACTAATCACGATTAGGGGATTTCTCATAAACACTGTCAAAACAGTTAATATTCACATGAGCTTCAACTCAATGAATTACATATTTTCGTGTTTATGTCCCAGGAAAATAGCTTAATTTTTTCACATTTAAAAGCTTTGATTGATTTAAATTATGCTTAAATATAGAAAACGATTTGTCCTGACGCACATCCGTGAGTTGAAAGTTGATTAAAAAACGAGGGTCAAAGGTTTTTCAGTTTACGCAAGCCCATTCCTCTTGGCTGAAAAATGCGGGCTTAATATAGTATCAAGGTAAGATTGTTAATGTTAAAGGTAGTACGGCTAGATTTAAATGTTCTACAGATCGGAAATGGTTTAATTTTATTCATAAATGTTGACTTGTTAACTTACTCTGTCTTTGTATTTATAACTTACACTTAAAAAGAACAAAGGCGAGTGTCACGCAGGAATATGCATAAGTGTTTTTTTTTGAAATGTATAAAAAACGATATTAAAGTAGAGAATGGAATGGTTGCTTCACACACACACACACACACACACACACACACACACACACACACAAGCCGGCGCACACACACAAACATTTATATAAATAACATAAATCTTTTTATTTGTCATTTTTATTGGTTTTTATTATTATACCTTTTTGTATATTTGTGAATGTCGCTGACGTCGTACCCCGTCCCCGTCACCATTCACGTCCTTGTTCCAGTCCCCGCCTTTCGTCCTCGTCCTCGTCCTGTTTGTCGTCAGCGGCGACACTGGCGTCGGCAGTTGACACATGCGTGCCCGATAATGTCATGGGGACCTGGAGACATGAGTGAAAACAAATGAAAGACGTCGCAGCTGTACGCAAAAACATCCCAATTGCCGCTGTTGTCCATATGTGCGTGCGTGTGTGTGTGTGTGTGCGTGTATAGCTAAAATTTCATAAAATGCTAGAAATATTAAATAATAATAAAAAGAGAGCATTTGTTGTTATATGTAAACGTATTTATGTGTCGCTGTCACTACTTTTGCCGTTTCACTTTTATGTTTATGATGTGCACCTCGCACAAAACATTCTGGGTACTCCCCAGTGTGTGTGTGTGCCATGTGTGTGTGAGTTGTGTGCGTGTGCGATTCTAATCAGCAGCCAAAACTACTTCAATGGCTGCCAAACAAAACGCACGAATTGGTTAGGCTTCAGCGTCTGTTGGCGGCACAGACGGGTCCCCGACCTCGAACCAGAGTCAAAGAGTCTCCGACGAAATCGACCCCAGAGCCAGGCCAGGCCAGACAGTGTTTTGGGCAGCTAACAACGACAAAATTGACAAATATTCGTTATATGGTTTTCCCAGTGAACAGCTTCTGCTTGTCTGCCCTGCCTCCCACTCCATTGCCCCATCTCCCATCCCGCAACGACCCCTACCGCCTTCTCGGCCCCATCAATTGTTATTTTCGCGTGTTTCGTAGGCTTTCGAAGCCGCAGCTGGCGACGTTTTGTCGTCGTCGGTCTCGAACCATTTTTAATTTGTCTGCTAACCAAATTGAAAACTGTCAAAACTGTTAACGTGGCCTTTTGTGTGTGTTTTGGCCACAGACATTAATAGTTTTCGAGAGGTGGTGCCATTAGGTTGTGCGTAGGCTTGATATATGTCCATGCTTTCTGAGTTAGGCTTGTAATTTACGTGAATACCTTTTACATTATATATTGAAAAAAGTAAATAAGATTACTTGCTTATTTAAATACTCTATCAGCCTTGAACATAGCTTAATATTGGCTTACATATACCATGGATCGAAGACTAGCATGTTTTCAGGATTAAATTAGATGAGCGAAACATCATCTACTTTATAGAGTACTTATAAAATCTAAGTTAAATATAATCTATTATATGTATATCTATCTATCTTTCTATCCATTTTCTTTCATGCAAACTACTCTATTTACTAGCTTTGAAATTATCTTGATAATAGCTTACATCATGGATAGAGGACTATCATGTACTAAGGACTTAGATAGATAAGGAAAAAATGATCGACCTTAAAAATTACTAAGAATATCCAGGTCGATATTACAGTCTACTTGTAATAATAATAATCATGGATAATATTGCTGCTATATCGTTGTATTTTATAGTGAGATATAATATAATATACAGGGACAATCGGCAAAAATGTAATTAGATTCTTTTGGTTTTGAAGGCATCTTAGCCGAGCTCAATGCAAACATATTTTGTTCAAGACTTATGTAATTATTTAGTTTATGTTTGAAATACTCGAACTTATCTCAACAATAACGAACTTCACTGTGCAGCTTACCAATAAGTTATATCCCGTCTATATCGCACTACTATAACATATATCTCTGAGATAAATTGATTGAATTGTATGAAAATTGGCTTAAATTTCGGCATGCCAAGCTGAAAACTGAAATTTACACGTGATTCTCGGACAATGCCGTTTCCAATTTATAATACACTTTAATAGAATTTTATTGATGTTCGTACTCGAAGCAAATATATTTAAAATATTATAGGTCTTGTCGAATGGAATATTGAAATATGCAACATTTTTTGCTATTTGATTTTATTCTCTTTCAACTTTTGAAAATTCAGTTTCGCTTTAATCAGCTTTTCACATGCATAATAAACAATTTTATGATCGAATACTCGTACTAAGTATCACAATTAATTAAATTGCAATTTAACAATATTATTTCGGGCTTAAAAAAAAAACGAATTGCCGTACACGTTGTATACGATTTAATCAGGCTTTAAAATGTTGCTTAATTTTGTTGCAAGCGAAAAAAAAAAGAAAAGAAAATTGAATGCTGATAAAATGTTGTTTGGGGGGAAAAAAAAATAATATAAAATCGACCGGAAAGCAATTTGGCTGAAAGGTGCACGCCACTTCTATCGATAGCTGACTGTAGTTGCGTGCGCCCTGGGGGCGGGACTGGGCGGGGTTGGGCGCAAGGACGCGACTGCCGCTTGGTACACCTACACACATTTATATGCATGTATATGCAAATGTTTGCGTGTGCGTCTAACGGTAACGGTGTGAAATGGCGCATATGTAAGCAGGGCCCAATGGATTTATGGCTTTTAACACAGGACTTATAGACGGTTGAGCCAGAAGCCTGGGGCCGTTATTGTTGTCTGTACTTTGCGTCCTTCGCTGGGCCTTTCGCTGACTTTTGCCGCGACGCGACGTCGCGATGTGGCTTAAAATCTAATCGACGCCTTTGAGCCGGGCAGCCGTGTACTGTTTCTGGCATTGGCCGTGCGCGTTATTTACTGACCGGAATTACCACTTTCAGCGGCATAATAGATTACGCAGATCCAAGCATGTTTG